GACTTTGCAGGTGCCCGTTGGGAACGCTGGTCACTTGGCAGCTAGGCAGAGTGGTGCCAGTCGGAGCATCTGAGGCATTTCTTGAGTTCAGTTGCTTCTCAGTTATTGCTCATCTGAAATGGAAAACAGGTTCTCCCCGTCTCCAACCACTTGACTGCCCGCTCTTGCTCTACCTGGCTTTCCACACCTGCTGCTATACTGAAATACAGAGGCAGTGTCTGTCTGCAGCAATGCTGCAGGCTTCCAGGTGGACCCAAGCCAAAGCCAATGAGCTATATTGCAGGTGTGTATATTGACCAAGCACTACAAGGCCACTGGAATCTCTTGCTCTGGGTTTTTCCACTGTTTGCTTTACCTGTTTTTACTGCTTGCTCTCTGGCTGTCACTCTCTTGCTCGATGGGGGGAACAATGTGCTGTTTTGTCCTCTGCTTTATACCGTAACAGTTGTATAAATCGACCAGCAGAGCCATCTGACTCTGTACCTGGTGTGCGTCAAATGCCACTTCTTTCCAGGGTGCTTTTACAAGACCCCTTTTAGGCCCAGTTGTAATTTGTGGAGTGATTTCACTGGTGACTGTCTTGGGTCTGAACTGGATGCAAGAACAATTTGACTTGCTTCTGTGCCCAGGGGTGTACTGCTAGTGTAAAAGCCTGTCAATGTCTTGATTTCGGGACTGAGATGACATTTATCACATCATGATTCAGCTGCTCTTGTGTTTTCATGGATCACCTTTGCTCCTACAAAACCCCTTTCCTTTTATTCACTTACTCAGGGAAGACTAGACAGGCATTAGTATAGGAACTAAATGCGATGTCTGATCCCTTTTTCTGACATTAACAGTATGCTGCCCTTCACCTCAGCTGTGCTCTTTTTCCATCACTAACTTGTGAGAAACTCAAAATCATAGTAAACCAGAATGTGCTGGGGAAACACCTGGGGGTTTACGGAGTCAAGCTTTTGGGCAAAGCCTCCCTTTTTTTTTCTTTTGTCTCCTGCTCTGTGGATGCAGCCTGCTATCCTTATGCTTTCTCTTCTCTCCATCCTCCCTGAAACCATGGCAACAGTTGAAACTACCTTTCCGCATTCTTGCAGTCAGAGAAGCAAGAAACCCAAGTTTGCTGCGTCTCGTGCCAATGCATCACAGTGTATAAATATCAATAACTGCCATTTGCAGCATTTGGTTTGTAGAGGGAAGTTTTCAGACTCTGCTGTTCACTTCAATGGACAGTAGGTCAAATCTGAGCTCTCAGATTGTTCATGTCTTACTTCATTAAAAGTTCAATAATCTCAATGTCCTTTTCTTATCAAGAGCTCAGCCATTAATCTTTATGCTGTCTTGAATTTGCAGATGCTCACAGCCTAGATTCCTGTCGATATTCTATCATTGGAGCAGATCTCAGAAGCTCATCTGAGCTGGAGGAAAAACTAAAGAAATTTAACATGGATACACAGTAAGATGATTGATTTCGGAGGCTTGTGGAAATGTACTGTTGAAGTTGGGTTGGGGCACACAGTATCTGCATCCATTTTTTTATTATGCTATTTCCATGGTTACCTTGTTCCAAGCCTTTTAAGCAGAAGGAATTGTTCCAACACTGCATGTAGCTTCCCTGAGCTGAGCAGGCTGTTACCGCAGTCCTTGCCTGCATGGGTCTGTGCTCCTTCCCCATGCAGCCCACTCCATGAGACTTATGTTCTTCCTACCCCAGAACATCAACCCCCATAGGAGCAGGAAAAACCACTGCTACCATTATGTTCGCCCTTTGAAAGGGCCGTGCATGGCATGTGCTCATAAATCTCGCTCTGTTTAAAATGAAAGCACAGACTCAAAAACTTCCCTAAACATTTCTTATTTGAACAATCTCTCTTAGTAACTGGATATTTGCTATATTTCAGGTACGTCTTATTAATGACCATGGGTATCTAGTGACTTATTTGCTTGATGCTCTCTGTACTGTGTGAGGGGATACGATGCGAGTGTGTCTGGTTGCTCATCTCATAGAATAAAGAATGTAACATGCACAGAGAGATTTTTATAGGATTTTTACTTTAGTGACTGGTTTTCTGTGTCTTTTTCTGTAAAGCTGTTTTTCTTTATTTCCTGAAGTGGATGATGGCAGAATCTGTCAAGATCCCGTCCTAGAGGTAAAAGACTGGGATTTTGGTTGCTGAGAAACTATGCTCTTTAGTTTCTCTTCGTGATCCCAGAGAGTTGGTAATGGACATACTTTCCCAATCGAAGAGTTATAAATAGAGCATAGCTGGCAGAGAAGAGGCACATGGGGTAGGCAGGATGTATCAAGCTGATCTTTTATGCTTTCATCTTAGAAGCTCGCTGTCTCGTTGCTTGCCTACACAACTTCTCCTTGTGGAATTCCTTTTGCTTCTAGTGCTTCTCATTCCTATTCATAATGGGAACTAAAAGCGAGCTTCTGACTTGTGGGCCATGTTACTCATGCAGATTTTGGGTTTTTTGTTGTGGGTGGAGGGGGAAAGAAAAGCAATTTCTGATTCATAAGGGTAGCTAGCAAAATGTGACTTATTGAAACCTTTCATAGGGATTTGTACAGTTGTATTACTAGAGCTGTTCTTAAAAGGTCATTCCCCCACTCTTCCCCCTGCCTTTTTAAAGTCTCTCCTTGCATTTAATATCTTTAGTGCTGTTCAAAAATAGGAGAACAGGGGCTGTGTGTGCATTGGGTGGGGTATAAGTATTTCTCCCAAGCCATGTCGTCACAGCCTCCAGCTCCTTCTAAGGGACAGGAAGTGATGGTGGAAGTGAAGTTTCCACCTTTTTCCTAATTACTCAAAGGAGTTGCTGTGTTCTTATCTGAATTCCAGGGAATTCATCTCGTCTCAGTGTCTGACTTGTTCTACCAGGCTTCTAATAGTTAGGAACAGGGTACGAATTCTCAGCCCAAGAGTTGTGAATAGGCCCGGGAATCGTGGCCATCTTCCTGTTCCATCCAGGTGAATGGGGAGAGAAGCGATGTACTATGTGGCCATAGCGTGGCAAAGGTTAGGAAACCACAGAGGAAAACTCACAACTCCTGTACTTTGTACCCTGTGCAGATAACGTGGGTTAAGGGCCCAGACCTAAACTTTGCTTGATTAAAATGATGCTGTCTCGTTTCCTCGAGCTGTCGAGTTCATTTGTGCTTATGAAAGTACTTGTCTGTCACTGATCATTCTTGCTGGTGTTATTTATTTTAAAGATTGCCAACGCTTCTGATCACAGAGTGTGTGCTGGTTTATATGACGCCACAGCAGTCTGCAAGTCTTCTGAAGTGGGCTGCAAGCACTTTTCAGACGGCCATGTTCATAAACTATGAGCAGGTAAAGCCAAATCCATGCAGCTCTTCGGCACGGAGCTACTGGCACAGAGCGCACAGAAAGCTGTGGGGATTTTGCCTGGGATGAGGGGGGAGGCTCTGAGCCTGAATGCTTTTGACCTTGTATAGAGCTGTGCAAATTCAAGAAGTTACCTGGGCTGGGGATCTTGGGTGTTCAGGCCATCTTCAGTTGTTAGCAAACCTGCAGGGCATGCATGGTCTGAGCATGATTGACTAATGTTGTTTGCATCCATCATGTGCTTCCGTGAAGCAAAACGATTGAGACTCTTGCGAAGCCCTAGATGCCAGGGTCAGTGCTGAAGGAAATAGCACTGAGCACTCTTAGGCAAGCCGGTTACAGGTAGTCACTGATCTCTCCTTTGGCTCCGTTATTAAAATTGCCAGCCTGTATCAGCCTGAAGGTGAGCCTTTCTGTGTGGCAGCAGAAAGTTGCCTTTTGGGGCTTGGGCAACTTAAGGAACGGGTAATGAATTTTTGACTTTTCAGGTCAATTATTTGAGCCCAGACTCAGCTGGTAGCAGCCAGAAGTCTTTGCTTTATGATAGGTTTTTAGCAGCAGTCCCTGTGGAAAGGGCTGGCAGTCCTCCGATCCTGTTCATAGTGTGCCTTGTTCCTAAAGAAAAAGCTGTCATCACCACAAGGCCTTTCCTTCTGCTGAAAGTCCTGTTTGAGGACCCAAGGACTGCCGTAGCTGTGATTGAGAGAGCTACATCAGGCTGGTGGGAGAACAAAAGAGGCTTTTGCTGCCTGCAGTATAAATGTATGGGGCTAACAAGAGGGCTTCAGTTCAGTTATTGCTTTCTGCTGTAGTTCAATCCCTTTTGAGGCTGGAGCTGGGCTGTTCTCAGTGGGAGCAGATGACAGAACAAGGAGCAATGGGCTCAAGTGGCAACAAGGAAAGTTGAGGTTGGATATTAGGAAAAACTCTCTCATTAGGAGAGTGGTGTAGCACTGGAACGGGTTACACAGAGAAGTGATGGAGTCGCCATCCTTGGAGATTTTGAAGACCCAGGTAGACAAAGCCTTGGCTGGGATGATGTAGTTGGGGCTGGTCCTGATTTGAGCAGGGGGTTGGACTAGATGTGACCACCTGAGGTCTCTTCCATCCCAAATTTTCTATGATTCTGTGAAAACCAGCCTTGTCATCTTGTTGTCCCCAGGTGAACATGGCTGATCGGTTTGGACAGATTATGATTGAGAACTTGCAGAGAAGGCAGTGCAACCTGGCTGGCGTGGAAGTCTGCTGGTCCTTAGAGTCTCAGGTGAGCAGTGCAGAGCAACAAGGCAATTTTCTTACCCGACGCTGTTTAGTCTAAACTGCCAGCTCTGCTCCTCGGGGTGGGGCAGCTGCAAGGCTCAGATCGGTGAACAGTGGCTGTCGACCCCAAACCAGCCTCTTCCCTTCTCCTCATTCCCCATAACCTCTGGGAATGAACCCTGCAGATCAGAGCTGACTGGATCTGCTGTTTGTGGCGAGCGAGAAGAATGGAGTGGAGCCAAAATACAGCCTAATTTAGCCCAGCACCAAGGTTTTCTGTATTCATTTGGCTTAAACAAGCTTTGCTTAGAAACGAGCATTAAACATCTTTGGAGAGCAGGTTGAGGAGATGATGCTCTGTATGGTCCTTGGAACAAGAGGCCCTTGGGACTCGCCATAGTTCTACTCTCCTCTAGAGCCCTCTGTGCTTCCTGTTTCTTTTACAGAAGGAGCGATTGTTGTTAAATGGCTGGGAAGCGGCAAACGCCATTGACATGATGAAAGTCTACAGCTCTCTGCCACAGGCTGATGTCAAAAGGTACTGGTGACCCATCGCTGATTGCCAGAAATCACCTTTGCTCTCCTCTTCCAAGATAGCTTGCTCTAGTAATTAGTTTGGTAGCTGTTGATGTGGCCTCCTCTCTTTCTCCTGTGAAGCAGGGTGTAGCTGAGTCTTACCTGTGTGCAGGATCTTAAGCGTAATGCCAGGAGCCCTGCTAACAAGCCAGTAGCTTGCTCTTCTCCCTTCTCCCCCTGCATGGCAGTGCAGTGTGCTGCCAGGGCGGTGGGTGTCCTGTGGCTGAGCACGGAGATCCATGAGTGAAAGATGCAGTAGAAATGCTAAATTCTGCTCTAAGGCTCCTGCAGCATTTCTTGTGAGCCCCTGGCCATTGCAGTTCTGGATGTACAAGAACTACCCGCAGGGCTTGACTGGATATTTTGAGAGCTGGGGGAGAGACTTGCCTGACATGAGCACAACAGATCAGGCAACTCCGCTGTAACCATCCTCTGTCTCTGTTCTGCAGTAATGGTAATGGGTAATTTAACCAGGAGGAAGCTGCCTCCACTGTAACTTCCACTTATGCAGACTGGATAGGAGCAGGCAGACTAGATGGTTACAGCAATCCAGCTGACCTGCAAGAAGCCCCTCCCACCACTTTTTAAGCAGTATAATTGTTTCTCTTCATGCCTATGCTTGCATGGGGGGCTGCTTCTTTGCTGCTTCTAGGGACTGCCCAGGTCTTTGCTCTGAGCATGGGTAGAAACCTGTTTGCAACTTCTCAGGGACAGGTAGGTAGGGAATGGTCAGCCTTTGCTCTGCTCCCCTACGTGCTTGGTAGAATAGCTGAGCCCAGGCAGAGAGTAACTTAGTGCTAGAATAAGCCAGCAGTACTCTGTTATACCAGGCAAACAGAAGTGCAGTAGGAGAAGCAGACACTTATGGCACCAGGCGTACAAGTGACAGTGAACTAGATGTGCATCTCAGACCTTGTTCCTAGTTGTGCCTGTGGACAGAATCTCCCCCAGAGAAACATCAAAAGGGTTAATGTTGTTTCCTGGCCAAATTGTAATCGGGGTGGTTATGATCTAGTTTGTCTGAGCTGGGTGCGATACCCCCCGCAAGGGAGGTAAACAGCTCCAGAGTGGTGCTGCAGGCTGGTAGGGATCCTCCACTGCCACACCAGTGCAAAGCCATTGAACAGCTGAATAATTCACTTCTGCCAGCAAAAGGCAGGAAGGGACGCTTCCTACTGCACTTTCTTCCCAGAGCAAGCTCCAGGCAGCCTCGTTAAGTAAGCTTTCTGCACAGATGGCTGGCCACTCGTGTATCCATTTCATTGGAGTCTCCTATTTTTAAATCTTTTGTTTTGAAGTTTAATCTGAAGTGTGGACCATTAAGAAGTCATCCACGGGCTGTGCTCCGAGCCAGCCGGGCAGCCTGCCCTAGTCAAGATCAGACGTTGCCCCATGGCGAGTTCCCACATTGGGAACGGGAAGGGGCAGGGTTGACAATTTGTTGGCCATTCTCCGCCAGGGTGACAGGTGGATTTTCACCACCTGGCCCTTAGGAAGAACTATGCTTAGTGCTTTACAGCACTGTTCAAAACGG